AAAAAAAAAAAAAACCCTTAAAAATTAAATAAATAATAAATGAACTTTATTTCCTATCAATTAAAAAATATTTTTATGTTTAAAAAAATTTACTGCATTCAAAAGAGACTCAGTGCCATAGCTTTCTAAATGCTTTGTTCGTTATTTTTAATATACTAAAAGAAAGGTTTTCCAAGGCACCCAGTTTATTTTTTGAAGTAAAATTTTCTCTGTGACTCGGGATTCTTTCAGGAAAGGAAGAATACAAATTCTTTGGATTCAGATACTTTAGTTAAGTTACTGAAGATTATTCTGTAACTCAAAGAACATACATTTCACAACAAATTAAAACAGGATCTAACTTTTGGATGATATTTAGATTTAAGAAGAATGCTTATGAGTAACTATATATATATATAATTTTTTGATGTGTAACATCTTTCCTCTCGGTTGCTGGATATCTGTGGGAGTGATTTCATGGAAAGGGACGGATGTGTGTAATAGGATGTGACGTAAGCACGCGCTACTTGATTTGACCAATGAGAGTGCGTGGCTGTGTCTTTTCGCTACCCTCGCATGGGGGTCCAACTCTAGTAGCCATCAAGCACTCGAGCGCTTGACTCTAAATCCGTTTAGTCACGATATTGGGGGACGTAAGTGCGGCAGAATGCTTATTTGAAAATGGACAAACAGTGATTTCGGTGGTCGCATACATTTCTTCGAATCAAGCGGTTAAAAAAATTAAAGATTCCCTGCATTTTGTACTTTTACCATATAACGAAGGTGGTTTTGCTCTTTTAAAAAAATTATCTCTCGCTTCCCTTGATTTTGAGTGGTGATTTTAACTTTAACTTCAGTTTGCCAAAAGCTGAGAAGCTCATGGCTTTTATGAATGATGAAATCAAGCTCGAAATGAACACAAATCAAAATGTTTCGACTGCTAACAGTGGTACTGTTATTGACGCTGTGTTTCAACGGTTTTTAAATACTTTGAAATCACAAGTATATGTGTCATATTTTAGTTATTATGAGTCTATTGTCTCCACTCTTCCCCAAATTGAACAAGAATAATTATTTTTGATAAAATATTGCGCATTATTCCTTTTGTTAACTAAATACAATTTTCATTAAAGATGTAATTATTCGATAGAAAATTATTTCCAATCGTACCCGCGCGCGCGATTTTTTTTTTTTTTTTTTTTTATTTTTCATATTTTTTTAAGGAAGAAAGTTAATATTTCGTATTTACCACGATAGCATGTCAGATGTTACACATCATATGCGACTACTGTAAGACTTGTTTCTTTTTTATTGCATTGTTTAAACTTAGGTTTGTGCATACAATACTCTTCGTGGGTGGAAATTTAAAGAAATTAGTTACTGATTAAAATGTGAAAACAATTATCAATTTCTTTTCAATTCTTACTGTTAGTTCACTCTCTCCCCATATATATGTCGCAGGAAAATGATGAAATTAGGACTTTCATAAAATCCCTAAAGATAGATGATTTATTTTATCATAATTTACTAATTTTACGTGGTACTGCTAATACTGCCTTTGTATTTGCGGGTAACATTAACCTGATGCTTTGCTCACGAAATTTATCATTTTCTAGTTTTATTACATCAATTAACTGTTATACTACATCAATTTTAACTGTTATACTAGTCTCTTAAATTTTATTGTTATATATTAATAAAAAGTGTGTGTGTGTGGTAATAATAACATTTCTATAATATTTCTTCCTTTCCCTATGACCCAGTGTATAGGCAAATAACAGGTGAAAGGTGACTAGTCACAAAACTTCGTTTAAACCTGCAATTTTGGTTCCAATGACCAAGAGTTTGCTGTTGTACTACTATGGCTAATATTTCTTACTGTCTTGACTGGTTATACTTAGGTTTATAATTATTTGTACATATTATTGATTATAAATATATTAATAAGAAATATTAGCCACAGTAGTACAAGAACAAACTCCTGGCCTTAGGAATTAAGATTGCAGGTTTAAACAAAGTTTTGGGGCTAGCCAACCTTCACCTGTAATTTGCCTATACTCTGAGCCATAGGGAAAGGAAAGAATAGTATTAGGAGAAATTTAAATATTACAAATAAAATTCACTATACTATTAAAATATAACGATAAAATTGTAGCCTACTAGTATTTACTAGTATAGAGTTAAAATCGATGCAATAAAGTAGATGATAAGATTTACTAAGTAAGCACAGCAACAAATTATGTTTCCCGCAAGATACACAAGAAGTATATATACATATATATTACACATGTTTTTACGCATTACATTTCTACATTAATATACATACAGATTCTTCATCCCTTCCAAAATAAAATAAGAGTTACTGGATTTTTTTCCGTGTACCTTTAAAGAGTAAAAGTGACTTTATCCTTTAGGACCGCTAATAAAGAAAGCGGTGAGGTCGATAAACAAGATTGTGTACAGTGAAATTCTGAGACCACGAGCGGAATTTCCCACCATTGCCTCAGTTAAAAGACAATTTTGCATAGAAATAAGACCATTACAAGGCTGAATACCTTGCATTGCCGAGAGTCACGTTTGTGCAATGACTTTTTATTCCATACGCACAGCGGGAAATACCTGTGTAACGTGATCAGAAAAACTAAAGAAACTTTATCAAATATAAATATAAGTGATATAGTGTTAAATAGATTTATTAGTGGTAAGATTTATGCAGCGTAGTCTAATGCGTTAATGATGTAATATTAAGTAACATAATATGTATGTATAAGAAACCTCTTTATTTTTATTATGTTTGACAGCATTCTTCCCCAAATGAATTAAAAACCTACTTTCGAGCATATTATTTGAGAATTAGTGTATAAGGGACATAGCAATAATTTTTTAAATAAATTTCATCGAACAGTTATAATTGTGTGCATCGTTCCAGTTACTTTAACAAGTAATATAATAATTCCTACTCATATCAAGAAAATTTTTTATTTTAGTTACTTTTTATTAAATAGTTACAATTAATATAAACATGTATATACATATGACAGAAACACAACATTAAGTGATAAAATAGAAAGCGTTTTGTCCTGCAATTTTCCATTTTCCTTTCTATGTATGATGTTGGATTATTTTTGTTTGTTTATTACTATATTTATTCATTAATCCAATTTAATTATTCTAATAAAATAGTATAGTAAAAAAAGAAATCATTTTCTCAGAAATTACAGCATTCCCAGGGGGGATTTGAACCCACGACCTTTGGAATAGAAATCTAACGCGCTATCCATTGCGCTACAGGGGCACAACAAACCATTTTCCTTTCTATATATGCTGTTATACATTATTTTTGTTTATTACTATTTATTCATTTTTTAATTCAGTTAATGAATTAAAAAAAAAAATACTTGAAAAAATTGTATTAACATCAAGTATCATCCACTAAAAGTTTTAAAAAATATATTTGAACTTGAGCGGATGAATAGAAAGTACTTCATTAACGATTAAAAATTTTTGAACAAGGTATTATTCATAGAGAGAGATAGAGTGAACTATAATAGTAGGAATTGAATAAAAGGACACAAAATATTTACGATAAAATAAGATAAAATTAAATTTTTTAAGGCCCTTTAACACACATTTCACGATTTTTGCTTGCGCATGTTAGAGCCCCTGTAGCTTGGCGGCTGCCATGTCATTGATACGGCTGATACAACGGTATCTACTCCCCTGGGTGAACTTGAAAAAAATATTTTTCAGCATGATGTAATAGATTATTATTTTTTTATTAAAAATAAAAAACTTCATAAATTCCTTTTCTCATAAATATTTAATTGTTTTCATGGATTTATAGAACATGTTTTTCACAAAACTGAAATTGATAAACATATATTCTAGATTCAGTATTTAAACAAGAATGTCTCTACGCCAGGGATTGGGAAATAGTAATCCACGAGCCGCATGTAACCCGCAAAGATTTTTTTTCTTTTTTTGCATTTTGCAGTCAGAAAATGTTCTCTATATCAAAATATAAGTTTTCCTCGTATGAAGATCAACAAGAGTAAATATAGATGTAAGAGTTGTGGTTGACATTCACTTGCAGGTTCACTTGCAATTTCCACAAGCTATCACATTTGATTTTAAAAAAAAATTGTAGAAAAGTGTGACAAGGTAAATTTTTCTCGTTAAACTGATTCTAAAATTAAATAAGCTTGCAGTTATATAGATATGAAATAAGCACAATAAATAAATTGAATAAAATTGCTATTATTTTATTTAACTTACTGTAAAATCCGGCGCATAACGCGCACCTATACTTTCAAATTGCATTAATTTAATTTTAAGGTATGTTCACCATATAACGCGCACCCTCCCTTTTTTTTATGAAGAAACCTGAAATATACGTATACAATGCTCTTATGTTTTGAGTTCATTTATTCGAAGTATTAATTCAGGCTTTTCAAAAAATAGTATATACATCTAGAATTAAAACTCTAATTTTATAAGGTGTTTCATTTCTTTTAAATAAGTAGTATTTCGATAAACGTAGAAATCTAACTTTTTTTAATGCTCATCTCTTTTTCAATTCCTACTATTAGCTCACTCTCTCTTTATATATATATATATATATATATATATATATATATAGTAATATAAAATAAAAGTGAAGAAGTACTAGAACCTACAGTGCTAAAGCAGGAAGAAATTGGAATTCACCAGACACAACAAATGTAGATACAAAAAAGTCTTTGGACTAAACTGGAGACCTATTATGATTTCTAAAGCTGTCGCTGAATTAGGCCAGCGAATTAGGGTTAGCAATACTTTATGGATCCAACCTTCCCGGTACAGCAGAAACTTTCGACTTAATAGGGAAAAAAACGAAGTTGAAAAGTTAAACCTAATACAACACAAGGAAGAAAAACTGCTAATATATTAAAATGAATATATATATATAATCTTGTTCAAATTTTCAATCGTTAATAAAATAGTTTCTATTCATCCAATCAAGTTCAAATAATTTTTTTTAATTTTTTAGTAGATGACACTTGATGTTAATACAGTTTTTTTCATATATTAATTCATTAAATAAATTACATTTAATTAATTACCTGTTTTTGACGCCAACTTAGATTCGTCTCCATTTTTGTAACACTAAAAACAATGACAAAAGTTGGCGTCGAAAACAGATTTTTCAGCCAAACTAGGTGTGCATTGTCATAACAATGCAGACAAATCATGCTCTTTTTTCAATTCCTCTACTATTAGTTCACTCTCTCCCTATATATTTCACTCTCTCCCTATACATATATATATATATATCGTTCAAATTTTCAAGCGTAATAAAATACTTTCTATTCATCCATTCAAAGTAGAAATTGACTTTAAAAACTTTTTTTTATATTACTTGTTATTTTTAAAGCTATCATTTTTATACACGGCGCATAACGCGCAACCTTAAATTTCGATCTCATTTTTTGTGTTAAAAGTGCGCGTTATACGCCGGATATTAAGGTATATTTATAGATTCTTTTATAAGGTACAATTTGTACTTTTTAGATGAAAAAATAATTAATGAATGTAATCGTTTTAAAAGGGTGCGGCCCTTCGGTATCCTTCGCTTCCACAATGTGGCTTTCGAGTCAAAACAAATGCCCTGCCCTGGTCTACACAACAGCAATTGCAACCAATGAATAAAAGATGGTTAAAAAATTAAATTACTAAGGTTAAAGAATTTGATAAAAAGTTTTGCGTACCTTAATTTGTTTTGAATTTTTAATGATAGCATTCTGCTTTCCTGCTTAGTGTTAATCCGGCAGTTCTCGCGCAGGGTGTGTCATACCCACTGTCTAACATTTTTCAACACTCCTTCTAAACCTTTTTCGGAAAATGGATAGTTTCTCGTGTAGCTGACTTTAAGGTCACATTATTTGAGGGACCTTAGCTTGTAGGCGAATTCTAAATGTATATTTTTGGATACCGCCTCTGCGGGTATGTCGTACCCTGCGCGTGAATCACCGTTACAGTTCTGAATGCATGAGCACATTTCATATCTTTATGCTATGACGTACTATTGTAGTTATGATGAAAAAATGTGATATTGAAGCAAATTTAAAGATACAGTATTTGATAGATATAGTACAGGGATGGAGAACCATTAGCACGCGTGCCATTGATGGCACGCGGCACAATATTTTGGGCACGCCACCGATCAAAACAATCAACCGCGATTGATTCTTCAGTCAAGGAATTTTCAGTGAGATTTTCTCAGTTCAATGAATTATCAGAAATGCTCAAGTTTATTACATACCCTGATGTGACATTATTTGATAAGCTGAACTTGCCTCTATTCGATTGGTTGGAAATAGAAGAATTTGAAATATAACTTATTGATTTCTAGTCTAGTTTAATATGGATTCAAAAATTTGTTGAAACAAGGAAAAAGTTAGAATTGATTGAAACAGAAAGATTAACAAGCAATATAAAAGTAAAAATGCCAGTAACGAAATTTTGGAAACATTAAATTCGATTCCAGATACGTTTAACTGTTAGAAGAGGCAGGCTCACGCTATTTTGACTATATTTTCATCGGCCTATGCCTACGATTCATTATTTTCAGGGATGAATAACATTAAAGACTCGCTTAGAAACCACTTGGCAGAGTACTCCAATTCAGCATGCATTCTGCTAAAAGTATAATATCTTGCAATACGAATATAAGTTATTTGTCATCTAATCTGCAACAGCAGAAATCAAGCTAATGTTACTTTATATAATTTGAATTACCCGTATAACTAAAACATTTACTACTATAAAGTACGCAATGTATTTTTTGTGTTGTTAGCATTTAGTTTTATTATTTTCCCAATAATCACAAGTCGAAATTATTTGACAGCACGTCTATACCTCACTAAGCATTTCTTTAGAAAAAATGGCACGTTGATCCATAAAGGTTCTCAACCTCTGATATAATACAACAGTATTTTCGGATGAAGAAATTCTCTTCGCTGTTATGATGAGGAAGAATCAAATGATGAAATGTATAACAGCAAGTATAATTCCTCCACTGAAATCGATCCAGATTTAGAAGAGGGAGACGCTGTTAAAAATAAATGTTTCATATGTAGATACACAAAAACATTTGGGAAGAACGTAATTTTAAAGGAGACAACTGGTACACATCTTATCCACTTTCAGATGGAAAAAAAACTATTGCTAGAACAATAAGAGAAAATAAAAAAGAAATTCCAAAATTTTTGAATTTAAAAAAAATAGAGAAGTTTCCTCCTATATGTTTAGTTTTAATAATATACAGATTTAAAAATAAATAAATTAAGATCCAGTGAAAACATCGCACTCACTCACGAGGAGACTAAAGGAGTGTATAAACAATGTACTGAATGCCCTTATAAAAAGAACAAAAAAAATAAAATTAACTTTTTAAAAATGTAACAAACATATTGTATTTCCTACTTTTGTTCCTTTTTAATTTCTGTTTTTAAATTTTATGGCAAAAACAGAATGTAAACACCCTTTGAGTATGTGATACCCGGCGCGAGAACTTTAGGTCGTTTTTTTCGCGCCAGTGATGCCGAGTTAATAAATTTCTAATTAAAAAGGTAACAGAAACATAATTTTTTTTCAAGCAATCTATTTGATGAATTTCTACGGTATTCGAAAAAAAGAATTATTTTTCACTTGAGAACACAACTTCAGTTTCGGAAACGCAATCAAATAGCAAAATACATAGCATTAAATATTATTTTGATTTCCAAAACTATTTTCTTGAAAAAAAAAAATCTGTAAAGACACACCCTTTACAACCTAGCAACGGCCCCGCATTTTCTGTAACTGGTTCTGGTCAAATTTGATTACTCGAAGTTAAAAAATTTTGATAAATCTATATTTAACAACTGCTTCATTGAGACAAAAATAGCAAGGATGCAAAATATGTACGTATATAAATTTATGAAAAATAAACGCATACGTATATTGCGTATTTCATACGTCAAACTTTTAAGAAAAGTCAAATTTATTTAATCCTTGCACTTCACGACTGGAATACAGAATAACTCTCACCTTCAAAGAATACTTATTGCGCACCTGTATATATATAATCCTACCTCCCTTCCAAGCAATTTGAAACTGGTTCTCACCGGTTCGATACAATAAAATAGAAGAATAAATATTCGGAAATGTTTAAAAGTCGATTTTATTATTGAGCAACGAAGAACGAGTTTTATTTCACGTGATTTGTGAAGGACACGGGACCTGCAATTACTAAAGGTGCTTTCCAAAGGACAA